TTATCAAAAACAGCCCGAAGCCGACGGAGAACCCTCTACAGCAGTCAAGCGTTGTATACATGTACACTTGCCCCCACGAAGGATGTAACCTTCAATGTAAGTACATAGGTATGACGTCGACCAAGCTGACGAGGCGTTTGACATGCCATCTTCAATCTGGTGCCCCTAGGAATCACATGAGACAAGCCCATGACATTACTCTAACAAGAGAAATGTTGAACAAGAATACTTGCATAATAGACAAAACCCAAGATTCAAGAAGATTACAAATTCTTGAGGCAATTCACATAAGAATAGAGCGACCTACCATGAACACCCAAATCACGGAACTATTTACTCTACCCACCATGAGAGTAAGGACAAGACAAGAACATATCGATGCCAACACAGAAGAAAATGTCCAACATAACAGGCCAATTACACTGGATTAATCTTTGTGTTTGGATAGGAGATGCCTCGTATGGGCCAATAAGCCTTCTGCAGCCCCTATGTTTATCCCTTATGTATCCCCCCATGTTTTCACCTTCATTGTATTATCACCTGACCTAATGCGGGTATAAAATCAACTAGTATTGTAAGATCTGTTCACTTGAGAATGAACCATGGAGGTTCGAAACGTCGTGCAAATTATACAAATAAGTGTAATACACTCTATAGTAAATCACTTCTTTTCTTCACCTTAAAAGTACGAAAATGAGTTTTGGAGAACTCCTATTTCAATTAAGCCCTGATGCTAAGAAAATAGTTAGAGGGATAGAAGCCCTAAACCAGAAAATAATAAATACAGAATATGCGGTCATATTCAATGAATCATGTTTGAAAGAAAACCTGCTTCCAGTATACACCAATATATATATATATATATATATATATATATATATATATATATATATATATATATATATATATATATATATATATATATATATATATATATATATATATATATATATATATATATATATATATATATATATATATATATGACCGACAAAGTATGATTAATAATTTTAACACGAATTTTCTCGATATTTCTTATGTTTCAATTCACTGTCGATGGTAATTGAAAAATCAATTCTCCAAAATTCATTTTTATTTCTAATCTGACGCGACACTTGAACACGATTCATAATAACTTATTACATTTTCAAAGACTTTAGTTTACACACACACAACTATAACCTGCAAACACTAAACAGAGTTCTACTATGCTATCATTTAAACAGCTTTCATTTTATATACCCGCATTTGGGTGAGGTGATATGTTACAACAGTTTTGGATGAGGTGAACAAAACTTTCAACACAAGATAGAGCAAACTTTCAACACAAGACAGAACACTTTGCAATGGGTATAAATTGGATAAATTAAAGGGGAGAATGGAAGTAACTGCAAAGGGCCTATTGGCCCATATTTCTTGATGCTTCTGTATTGGTGCGGAGTCTTGAAGTGGGTAGAATATAGTTGTGCATTAATTGGCTGTTGATTGCTGGTGTTGACTTCTTGATGTGTAGTGCCTCGCAGATGTCAAGCCGTCTGCTATTGCTGTATCTATCGATGATTTCTGTGTTGTTTGTTAAGGCTTCTCTGGTGATGGTCTGGTTGTGGGAAGAGATTATATGTTCCTTAATGGAGCCCTGTTGCTTATCCATCGTTAATCGCCTGGAAAGAGATGTGGTTGTCTTGCCTATGTACTGAGTTTTTTGAGGCTTACAGTCACCAAGTGGGCATTTGAAGGCATAGACGACGTTGGTCTCTCGTTGCGTTCTGGCTACTAGGTACGACATATATATATATATATATATATATATATATATATATATATATATATATATATATGTCGTACCTAGTAGCCAGAACGTACTTCTCAGCCTACTATGCAAGGCCCGATTTGCCTAATAAGCCAAGTTTTTCTGAATTAATATATTTTCTCTAATTTTTTTCTTATGAAATGATAAAGCTACCCATTTCATTATGTATGAGGTCAATTTTTTTTTATTGGAGTTAAAATTAACGTAGATATATGACCGAACCTAATCAACCGTACCTAACCTAACCTAACCTATCTTTATAGGTTAGGTTAGGTTAGGTAGCCGAAAAAGTTAGGTTAGGTTAGGTTAGGTAGGTTAGGTAGTCGAAAAAACATTAATTCGTGAAAACTTGGCTTATTAGGCAAATCGGGCCTTGCATAGTAGGCTGAGAAGTGCGTTCTGGCTACTAGGTACGACATATATATATATATATATATATATATATATATATATATATATATATATATATATATATATATATATATATATATATATATATATATATGTCGTACCTAGTAGCCAGAAGGCACTTCTCAGCCTAATATGCAAGGCCCGATTTGCCTAATAAGCTAAGTTTTCATGAATTAATATATTTTCTCTAATTTTTTTCTTATGAAATGATAAAGCTACCCTTTCATTATGTATGAGGTCAATTTTTTTTTAATGGAGTTAAAATTAACGTAGATATATGACCGAACCTAACCAACCCTACCTAACCTCACCTAACCTATCTTTATAGGTTAGGTTCGGTTAGGTAGCAGAAAAAGTTTGGTTAGGTTAGGTTAGGTAGGTTGGGTAGTCGAAAAAACATTAATTCATGAAAACTTGGCTTATTAGGCAAATCGGGCCTTGCATAGTAGGCTCAGAAGTGCGTTCTGGCTACTAGGTACGACATATATATATATATATATATATATATATATATATATATATATATATATATATATATATATATATATATATATATATATATATATATATATATATATATATATATATATATATATATATATATATATATATATATATATATATATATATATATATATATATATATATATATATATATATATATATATATATATATATATATATATATATATATATATATATATTATATATATAAGTTCGGGTTATATATAAGCTGTCAGGTCTTGCTTGCAGTGAAGGGTCCATTAGTTAAAAATCTTGCCAATCAGAAGCTCCAGGCAGAGTACATGCACACTGATGGTGTGACCAGCGATAAGGATGACAAACATTCCCTGAAATATTATAGGTATGTAAATTAGTGGTTAATATGCACACACTTACACACAATGACGTCATAATACATATCTCAGAACGAACTAATATATATAAGATTTTTTTGTAAACAGATTTAAAAAGCTTCATTACCCAGACATTATTAAGGGAAAGAGACTCTTCAACAGTGACTATTGTAGGAGCATGATAACACGCGGTGGAGTTAGGCTCAGCGGCCGTCATCCAGTACTGGAACAGTCCAGCCTCAGTCATCCCTTGAATCCTGTTACATAACAAGCAAAGTATTTATGTAACCATTATTATAATATTCATTGTTTACTTATGCTTTATTCTTATTTAGTGGAATTACTTTTGACGTGATACATTTTTATGACTTTATATATGCATTATTATACTGCTCACTGTTTATATGTTAATCCCTTACTCTATGATAGGGTATGAAAGCATTTGGAACAAAGATGAAGAAAAAAGAGGTAGGAAAGAATGAAAAGGAAAACTGTACCAAACATAAACACCGGAAAATAGTGTATAAGTGCCTCAGGAGGGAAAAAACAAATATATAAACATAGATTAAATGGATGCTACATTGTATTGACGTGCTATATTGATGCTTATTAGGGGATCTAATTTGTACATGCTTGGGCCTATATTAAGGCTGTTGTTACATTGTTTGATCAGAGAAGACTCAATCACATCTCGTTCAACGAAACCCTTACTTTTAACAATACATTTTGCCCCTCTGAAGTCGATAGAATGATCACATAAACTGGAATGTAACTATAATGCACTTGAGTGCTGGGCTGTACGAATAGCATATGAATGCTGTTTTAAACGCGAGGAAACCTGTCTGGCCGATGTAAACACATGCACACTCATTACAAGGGCTGGAGTACACACACAACCTGCTGCAGACGAGGGCGAGTTCTTAATTAACATGGACGTAAGTGTATTATTATTTTTGAGCACTGGGTTTATATTAATTAAGGTTTTTCAGTGCTGGGGCAAAATTCTCTAGTCCCTCCAAATATGGTAATACAAACGAGTTTTTTAGTTCTGGTTTGAACTTGATAGCATGTTTGTAGAACGTCCTTTTTGCTTGACCAAATACGACATTAAAAAACGATTTTGGGTATTTTAACTTCTTCCCAGTTTCAAATATTTTGTTATATCTTCATAAAAAAATACCAGGCTGCAAATTCTCAGCAGCATATTTTCATTCCACTACATTTATTTGGGTTAAACTCTAACAACCATTTGTTGGACAATTCCTTCAGTTTGTCCAGGTCTTCTTGAAGCCTCATGCTGTCCTTCTCTGTCTTAATCCTTCTCATAATTTTGGCATCATCCGCAAACATTGAGGGGAATGAGTCTATTTCCCTCTGGAAGATTATTTATGTATACCAGAAACAGGATAGGTCCGAGTACAGAACTCTGTGAAACTTCGCTGGTGACCACGCCAATCTGAGGTATCAACCCTCACTGTAATTTTCTACTTCCTGGTGCTTAGGAAGCAGTATCCACTGGATATCCACTAGAGCACCGTACCAGTTACTCCTGCCTGTTTCTCCAAATTAAGCAACAGTCTCTTATGGGATACTGTGTCAAAAGCTTTCTGACAGTCAAAGAAAATGCAGTCTGCCCGTCCTTCTCTTTCTTGCTTAATGCTTGTAGCTTGGTCATATAATTCTATTAACCTGTGAGAGTCGACTTGGCTTCCCTGAACCCATGCTGGTGACGTGTTACAAAGTCCCTTCTCTCCTGATATGCTACCAGGCTTTTTATCACGATCTTCTCCATCACCTAGCATGGTATACAAGTTAAGGACACCGGTATGTAGTTTAAGGCCTCCTGCCTATCCCTCTTTTTGAAGATTGGGACTACGTTAGCTGTTTTCAACTTTTCTGGTAGGTCACCCGTGTCTAGTGACATGGTATTGAACGTAGATAGTGGCACACAAAATGCATCTGTCAACTCTTTTAGCATCCATGGTGAGATTCCATCAGGTCCAACAGCCTTAGTCACTTCTAGATCAAGCACATATCTCCTAACCTCATATCTGGTAATTTCAGTATTTTCCAAGTCTGCTTCGCTTTAGTTCAAGTTCATCCATCTTAGTTCAAGGACGTTTCCTTTCTCTATTGTGAAGACCTCCTGGAATCTCTTTTGGAGTTCTTCACACACCTCTTTGTCATTCTCTGTGTACCCACCCTCTTCCGTTTTCCATTTCATCATTCGTTTCCACTGTTGTTTTCTTTTTACGTGGCTTTATAGCAGTTTTTGTTAGCACTTGGCTTTAATGGCTATGTCATTTTCAAACCGTCTCTCAGCTTCTCTCCTCACAGTGAAGTAACCATTTCTGGCCCTCTGGTATCTCTTCCTGATCTCTGGTGTCCTGATCTCTGGTGCCTGATTAAACCACGTATTCCCCTTTTACTTTTCGTTTTTTTCTTTCTGGGCCAGGATAAAACTGTTTTCTGTGTGTGTGTGTGTATTCACTTACTTGTATTCACCTACTTGTATTCACCTAGTTGTGCTTGCAGGGGTTGAACTCTGCTCTTTCGTCCCGCCTCTCAACTGTCAATCAACTGTTACTAACTACATTTTTTTTTCTCTCTCTCATACACACACACACACCCAGGAAGCAGCCCATGACAGCTGACTAACTCGCAGTTACCTATTTACTAATAGGTAACAGGGGCATCAGGGTGAAAGAAACTCTGCCCATCGTTTCTCGCCAGCGCCGGGAGCCGCGACACACACAGCGGCGCCGGTGTGTACTCACCTAGTTGTGTTTGCGGGGGTTGAGCTCTGGCTCTTTGGTCCCGCCTCTCAACCGTCAATCAACAGGTGTACAGATTCCTGAGCCTATTGGGCTCTATCATATCTACACTTGAAACTGTGTATGGAGTCAGCCTCCACCACATCACCTCCTAATGCATTCCATTTGTCAACCACTCTGACACTAAAAAAGTTCTTTCTAATATCTCTGTGGCTCATTTGGGCACTCAGTTTCCACCTGTGTCCCCTAGTGCCCCTTGTGTTAAATAGCCTGTCTTTATCTGCTCTGTCGATTCCCTTTAGAATCTTGAATGTGGTGGTCATGTCCCCCCTAACTCTTCTGTCTTCCAGCGAAGTGAGGTTTAATTCCCGTAGTCTCTCCTCGTAGCTCATACCTCTCAGCTCGGGTACTAGTCTGGTGGCAAACCTTTGAATCTTTTCCAGTTTAGTCTTATCCTTGACTAGATATGGACTCCATGCTGGGGCTGCATACTCCAGGATTGGCCTGACATATGTGGTATACAAAGTTCTGAATGATTCTTTACACAAGTTTCTGAATGCCGTTCGTATGTTGGCCAGCCTGGCATATGCCGCTGATGTTATCCTCTTGATATGTGCTGCAGGAGACAGGTCTGGCGTGATATCAACCCCCAAGTCTTTTTCTTTCTCTGACTCCTGAAGAATTTCCTCTCCCAGATGAGACCTTGTATCTGGCCTCCTGCTCCCTACACCTATCTTCATTACATTACATATGGTTGGGTTAAACTCTAACAACCATTTGTTCGACCATTCCTTCAGCTTGTTTAGGTCTTCTTGAAGCCTCAAACAGTCCTCTTCTGTTTTAATATTAATCCGTCTCATAATTTTGGCATCGTCCGCAAACATTGAGAGAAATGAATCGATACCCTCCGGGAGATCATTTACATATATCAGAAACAAGATAGGACCTAGTACAGAGCCCTGTGGGACTCCACTGGTGACTTCACGCTAATCGGAGGTCTCACCCTTCACCGTAACTCTCTGCTTCCTATTGCTTAGGTACTCCCTTATCCACTGGAGCACCTTACCAGCTACACCTGCCTGTCTCTCCAGCTTATGTACCAGCCTCTTATGCGGTACTGTGTCAAAGGCTTTCCGACAATCCAAGAAAATGCAGTCTGCCCAGCCCTCTCTTTCTTGCTTAATCTTTGTCACCTGATCGTAGAATTCTATCAAGCCTGTAAGGCAAGATTTACCCTCCTTGAACCCATGTTGGCGATTGGTCACGAAGTCCCTTCACTCCAGATGTGTTACCAGGTTTTTTCTCACGATCTTCTCCATCATCTGGCATGGTATACAAGTTAAGGACACTGGCCTGTAGTTCAGTGCCTCTTGCCTGTCGCCCTTTTTGTATATTGGGACCACATTCGCCGTCTTCCATATTTCTGGTAGGTCTCCCGTCTCCAGTGACTTACTATACACTATGGAGAGTGGCAAGCAAAGTGCCTCTGCACACTCTTTCAGTATCCATGGTGAGATCTCGTCTGGACCAACAGCCTTTCTAACATCCAGATCCAGCAGGTGTCTCCTGACCTCCTCTCTCGTAATTTCGAACTCTTCCAAGGCCGCCTGGTTTACCTCCCTTTCTCCTAGCACAGTGACCTCACCTTGTTCTATTGTGAAGACCTCCTGGAACCTCTTGTTGAGTTCTTCACACACCTCTTTGTGTGAAGAACTGTATACCTGTCCTCGCCTGTTCTAAGTTTCAATACCTGTTCTTTCACTGTTGTTTTCCTTCTGATGTGACTGTGGAGTAGCTTTGGTTCGGTCTTGGCTTTGTTTGCTATATCATTTTCAAAAATTTTCTCTGCTTCTCTTCTCACCCTGACGTACTCATTCCTGGTTCTCTGGTATCTCTCTCTGCTTTCTGGTGTTCTGTTATTCCGGAAGTTCCTCAACGCCCTTTTGTTCAGTCTCTTCGCTTCCATACATGCCCTATTATACCATGGATTCTTTTGTTGCTTTTCGGATTTTTCCCTTTCGGCCGGGATGAACCTGTTTACTGCCTCCTGACACTTTTGGGTAACATAGTCCATCATACCCTGTACAGACTTATCTCTGAGGTCTGTGTCCCAAGGTATTTCACTTAGGAAACTTCTCATCTGTTCATAATTCCCCTTTCAGTATGCCAGCCTTTTGAATCCTAGTTCTTTTTTGGGGGAGATAATTCCTAGCTCTACCAGGTACTCAAAGTTCAATACACTGTGGTCACTCATTCCCAAGGGCGCTTCCATCTTAACTTCCCTTATATCCCACTCATTTAGGGTAAATATCAAATCAAGCATTGCTGGTTCATCTTCTCCTCTCATTCTTGTTGATTCCATGATGTGCTGGCTTAGGAAGTTTCTTGTTGCCACGTCCAGCAGCTTAGCTCTCCATGTTTCTGGTCCTCCATGCGGGTCTCTGTTCTCCCAATCTATCTTCCTATGGTTGAAGTCTCTCATAATTAGTACTCCAGATCCATTCCTGCTAGCAACAGAAGCTGCTCTTTCTATTATGTTAATGGTGGCCATGTTGTTTCTATCATATTCCTGTCTGGGTCTTCTGTCATTTGGTGGTGGATTATATATGACTACTACTATATTTTTTTCCCTCCATTTGTTATAGTACCTGCTATGTAGTCACTGAAACCTTCACAGCCCTGAATATCCATCTCCTCAAAATCCCAGCCTTTTCTTACCAGCAGAGCTACGCCACCATCACCTCTTCCTTCCCTCTCTTTCCTCATAACATAATAGTCCTGTGGGAACACTGCATTTGTTATCGTTTTTGTTAGCTTTGTTTCTGTGAGGGCTATTATGTCTGGGTTTTCCTCTAATACCCGTTCTCCAAGCTCATTTGCTTTATTTGTAATTCCATCTATGTTAGTGTGTATTGCCTTGAGACTCACTTTCTTTTGTCACTTCTCAAATCGCCTCCTTGGTGAGTGTTCTGCTGGTGGGGGAAGCTGTTCCATGGGTGTGAGGTCCTGTGAGGTGGATAACAGGGTCTCAGATGATACTGCGATGAGGGGCAGGGGATCCTGTGAAGGGAGAGGGACAAGGAGAGTATGGGGTGAGAGGGGAGGGAGGACAGGGAGGGTATGGGGTGAGAGGGGAGAAAGGAAAGGGGGGGAGGGAGGACTCGGCAGGAGGAGGGGAGGGGTAGAAGGGTGGGGATTGGGTGTGGGGGAGGGAGATTTGGCTGAACATTTGAGTGGGGGCAGGGAGGGTTTGGGGTAGGGGAGTTTTCTATGCAGAGGAGGGTGTCAGGGTTATCCTTCCCTCTGGTGTTACTGGGTAGCTGGTTGTGGGTTCCCCCCTCGCCTCTGGGGGTGTTGTGTTGGGAGCTGTGACTTCCTGGTTTTCCCCTCTCGCCCTGCGCCTCTTCCTTGCTTCTGCCGCCACGGCTCTCTCCTCCTGTGTCATGTTTCTCTGGAGGAATACATTTTTTAAATTTCCCACGTTTTTCAGGGAGCTCTTCTTTGATTGTGTGTGTGTGTGTGTGTGTGTGTGTGTGTGTGTGTGTGTGTGTGGACTCACCTAATTGTGCTTGTGGGGGGTTGAGCTCTGGCTCTTTGGTCCCGCCTCTCAACCATCAATCAACAGGTGTACAGGTTCCTGAGCCTATTGGGCTTTATCATATCTACACTTGAAACAGTGTGTGGAGTCAGCCTCCACCTCTTTGCTTCCATACATGCCCTATTATACCATGGATTCATCTTTTGCATCTCGGATTTTTCCCTTTGGGCCGGGACGAACCTGTTTACTGCCTCTGACACTTTTGGGTGACAGTCCATCATATCTTGTACAGACTTATCTCTGAGGTCTTTCCCTTAGGAAACTTCTCATCTCTTCATAATTCCTCTTTCGGTATGCAAGCCTTTTGTGTCCTAGTTCTTTTTGGGGGGAGATAATTCCTAGCTCTACCAGGTACTCAAAGTTCAATACACTGTGATCACTCATTCCCAAGGGTGCTTCCATCTTAACTTCCCTTATATCCCACTCATTTAGGGTTTATATCAAATCAAGCATTGCTGGTTCATTTTCTCTCATTCTTGTTGGTTCCTTCATGTGCTGGCTTAGAAAGTTTCTTGTTGCCACGTCCAGCAGCTTAGCTCTCCATGTTTCTGGTCCTCCATGCGGGTCTCTGTTCTCTCAATCTATCTTCCCATGGTTGAAGTCTCCTATGA